TTCATTTGGTCTGAATCACATTCAAATTATATAAGTTTGTTTCGCTTACAGGATGTCAACTTGTCATACCAAGATCTGGGACACAGATATCAGCTTGAAAATTTTGTCCGTGTTTTAAAGAGACTCATTCGTGTGAAAAGACTTAATCTTGCTGACAATACTCTTACCAATTTGCAGTCCGTTTCTTTGCCAAGGTAAATACATTTTCATTGACTGCCATGTGCATAGCATGCAATAGGCGTGTGTGCGTGCGCGTGCGCGTGTCAAGAACCATACATCGGATTTTTTGATGAAACTTGGTGCATAGATGCGCAGAATTGATTAGTTTTAGGTGAAAATCCGTGCATATTAATTACCTAATTTGCATAATGATTAATCAATTTTCGGCTTTTCCACTGATCTCAAATACTAATCATCTCATTTTAATGAAACCTCGTACATGGATGTCATAAGACACTGCACAGACCTGATAGTTTTTAGAGTAATATAAGTACATATTAATTACCTAATTTGCATAATTAATTGATTTTTTTTCAATGAAACTTGGTACATACTCAATGACTATGCAGAGATCAATTGTTTGCATAATTAGTTAATTTTCAGCTTTTCCACTGATATCTCAAGTACTAATTGTCACATTTCAATGAAATTTGGTACATAGATGCTCTAAGACAATAGACAGTACTAATTATTCTATTTCAAGGGAACTTGGTACACAAATGGTCTGTTACATTGTGCAGACCTATTCAGTTTTACACTCAAATCTGCCTTCTCTGTGTTGTGTACAGTCTGGATATGTCTTAGAACTTTAACATCACTCTACGATGATCATTCTAACCTCACTAACTTCAATTGACGCATTAGATTATTGTTTTTTTCTGCTATTGCATAAAAAAGACTGCTGCATGCAACAAATTTAGAAAACAATGATTACAATTTTTTTTTTATTATAAAAGACTCCACGGATAGCCAAAATGAATTATGGGAAAAACAACGCCATTTATAAGTTTTGTTACTGTTGATTTGGTGCTGGGTAATACTAATTCTGTCTTGCTGACGTGATCTATTTCAGATGTACACACCTGACATTGTGCATGAATTATTTTGAACACTTTAAGGTAAGTATTCATTTAACATGTAAACACTATGGTAAGTCTTAATATAGACAGTAAATGTTGTTTTTGTATGCTCACATACAATAATTATGCATTACAATGGTATGTGTACATTACGTCTGGTTTCTATTGCTGGTGCACACAGGCAGTTTATTTGTATAATACTGTAAAACAATTTATTTTCACTATTTCGATGTTTCAAGCCATTTCACTGTTGTTTTTCTAAGTCCATGAACTTGACAGGAAAACAATGAGTTCTATTGTTATTCTTTATGTTCACATAAAACCAGCAAATAATTAATGCATTTACAGTAAACTTGTTTTCTTTTCTTATAAAGGCTGTACTTTCTTGATATTTTCAAGTATCATTTTTGGGGGTTAAGAATTCATGCTTTTTTGATTGATCACATGTGTTATTAGTGCTTGCTGAACACGAATGTGCTGGGAATGTAGGCTCATAACTTGAACATGCATGAACCAATTTGATTTAAATTTGGTACACATGTCAGGTTGTGGTCTATAATCACCAAGTGATAAATAATTGTCATTGTGGTCTTGTTAGCAGTACAAATACTGAGCCCTCATGATGCTTTGTATTTTGAAATTGTCACTAAATTTGTTATTTTTTATGAAACTGGATTTTTTTTATTTTCTCTAATAAAAGCCGTGACTTAGACACTTGCGTGGTGACCATCATATTTTGTCCCGCCCCAAGTTGTATTTGTGACACTTTCAGGTTTCAACGTTTACAGTCATATCAGTTAAAGTCTCACATATTGTACTTGTTTTATTTTAATTCCCAGTACCTTCCCAAAGCCCCACAATTGAAGATCTTAAACCTTGCTGACAATCATATCCAAACTCTGGATGGACTTGCAGTATTAAGGAAGCGGACACCTCTGGAAAGTTTAGACTTGAGAGGTAATCCCCTCGTCTTCACAGAGAATTATCGATACAGGTGAGATATTTTACTGAAGTCAATCTCAATGAAACTTAGTACAAAGATGCTCTAGGACAATGTACAAACCTAATTAGTTTGGGGTAAAAATCTGTTCATATTAATTCCCTAATAAGCATAATAATTCATAATTTTTTGGTTCTAATCACATTTCAATTAAACTTGGAAACATAGATTTTCTGTTACATTGCGCAGACCTCATTAGTTTTACACTCAAATCTGTTCATATTAATTTTCTGATTTGCATAATTAGTTTTCAGCTAAGTAATTTCGAATTATATTTAATGTGTCTCCAATACTCTCAGCACATGGGAGTTCTTTCTAAGCTTTCTTTGATTGCTCATTTTGCTTATAGCTATGTATGCTAAATTGAAACACGGGGAATACCGGCGTACGCGTTGTTTAATTCCCAAATCAATGAAATTAAAACTTTTGGAATATCAACACAATTTATTTAAACCACCATAATTTAACCCAATGAATACCAACATTTCTACAGTATTGTATACTACCGGATTCTGCAGTAAATTCGCCCAGGGCTGTTAAACAGCAGTTCGGGTTTAAAAAAAAAAAAAATTGGGATCAAGAAACCGCCTAGGGCGATTTTTCGGCAGTTTTTTTAAGGTGGTATTTTAATCGTTTCTGATGCCTAATTCAAGCCAAAAGATCGTACAACAACATTGGCAAATCTCTTCCGTGCTGCATTCAATAACATTAACATTTAAAAGGCTATGGTATTTTGAACACTTTTCCATCGTTTTCATTGGTTAATTATCGATTTGATAGTCAGGTCAAAGAACACCGTCTCAGGTCAAACATGGCGGATATTCATTTCTACAGCATCGAGGAGATGCGAGTGCAGAAAATGCGATCATAAACATTCGCTTACGATGAAACAAGTTGAAATTTATTTGCATTTCATAACAATTCAACGAATTTATTTTTTGCACGTTATTATAATCATTACTCGGTAAAAATCAACAATTGTAAAACACAGCATAACCGGATTGAGATACCGCGATCATTTGCTACTAAGCAATGCAGTTGCAGTTCGTTTTTATTTGAAACGTCTTTTACTAATAAAATGAAACAATATAATTGTATTTGGCGCATGAGGTTTGTTAATGTGATTTTTTTGGAGAAAGATGCGCTGTCTACTTTTTAATCCAGCAAGAAAAAAAATGTATAACATTTTAGATTAGCTTCTGTAATGGTTTCTTTGATTTTGGGTGGTCCAACTGCCGGTGATGAAAATCGGCTTAGGTGGATTTTTCAATGAAAATATAAGCCCCCTAAACATATTTGATGATAATTTTTTGAAAATTTGAACCCCAAATAAGGGTCCACCAGCCGTGAAACCGCCCAGGAAGATTTTTCGAATGGGCAAATTTACGGCAAAATCCGGTACATGCGAAATTTTAAATGTCACAGTCATGTTTTCATGATACAGCAGCCAAATGCATCATTTCTTTTAAAATGAAATAATTAATGCCGTTTTAATTTTCATCCACTATCTTCTACATTGACACCAATCCACATAAACACGTTCTTGGGCAATATAAAATCTTTAATTTAGGCGCCGGGGAAGAGTGAAACTCCTTAATTTGGTTCTAAAATAATTGAAAACGTGAATTAAAAAAAAGCAATTGTTCGCATTTTCACAAAAAATACTATATGGTATATTATTCATTTATATTCATCACATTATACAGAATTAAGTATTTATAACTAACACGTATAATATTATGTTATCTTTTCAGAGTATTCAAGACTTTACCAGATTTAAAGGAACTTGATGGTATTCCAAAACTGTCAACTGACGATACACAGGAATATTATGGTGATAATGCATCCTCCTGTGTAGTATCTTAAGATCATTTAACAATATAATGAAAAAGAAATGTAAACAGCAGTGTGGTATGTTCCTTCAATACAATGGAGAGAATTGACATTCCTATACCAAACTGTATTTGACCTAATAGAAGCACATCTTTGTGAAAAGTGCACACAAGACAAACGTAAACACATTTCTGCTATTTATATAAGCGTATAGTACGAATAGACTCGGTTCTAGTCCTTGGTTGCTGCTCTTACTCTGCTCTCTTGTTTTCACAGATTTGTTCAAACGACAAGTCTGTACCTCAGTAGAAATTATATTCCATCTACTGTACTCTTACTCGTATCTCTGTGCATGATCTAGTTAAACACAACTGTTTTATTTAGCAATTATTGCCACGACACTGCCTTCTCGGCACATCAATTGCATGACGAATAATAACTAAAACTACCATGATTGGTTAGCGGTACACAACAGAGATACACAAACCCACTGCTGCCAAGATTCTCCAGTCTGTGTCCTTGTATATAATAAGTACCATTGAGGGCAGTATACCAGTAACTGCGACACCGGCTTGAAATAGTGACTAGCTAATAGAGCAAGTATGGTACCACAGTAAAACTTGTCTAAACCAAACCCTATGCCAACTGGGATCCAGTCAATAAACTGACCACTAATTTCCCAGATTACTTCTAATTTACTTACCAAAATACCTCTGACTGGATTCATCTTATTTCCTGTAAATTCTGTAAATCACAAAAGGTACATCACTTTGGTTTACACAGGTTAAAATTATTTAAATTACATTTCCTGTTTTTACGTTATATTGTAAAAAATGTAAATAGTATTTTTGATATTGTACATTTACAAAGCTTATTTTGTAAAATTTATATCATATTTAAGATGTTATTTTACATGTAAATGATTCCATATTATCTTTGTACATTATCTTTCAAAGGCTGTATCAGTTTTTAATCTAATAATTATACATGCAACTTCACCAATGGAGAATTTTCCATTCATTGCAACATCCTGCATTATACATGAAATCAAACGTAGAAACAAAACAATCAAAGGTCATCATGTAAGATTGTACAAACATAAAAGTATTTTGAGGCTTTTTCGCTCTCAATAATGTCCTATATAATTTGATGGTCAAGGACGAATATCTCAACACCATATTACCCTCTGAAGGATCACTTTCTGGGCATTAAAAGAAAATTCTAGTTCAAAATCAAATGATTTGTGTATCATCACAAAACGTTCGGTCCATGCCATTAATTCATTATACAAGATGTCACAGTGGACGGAAAATCACCAATTGTTGGGCAAAAGCAGTTGGTATGGCAACAAATTCGGAAATATTGGAGCACTAAAGCTATATAATACACTTGACAGAAACACTGTTGCTGGGTCTGTTGAATAATATTTCTTGTGAACTGTACAAAACTCAAAAACGCTTATGATGCTTACAGGGGGGGGGGGTCAGTTGATACAATTGCCGTACAAACGGGTACACATGTAATATATCACATCATAATATACTGTAAACAAATGATTGTAATGTTTTCAACTGGGTAAACAATATAGAAATCACGAATTGCTAGATAAAAATTATTAGTGTTTTGATGTAAATATGTACATAATACACAACAAATATCACTTATTTTATTATATTCAAGGACAATTTGCTATTTAGTATCAAAATTATTTTTATTCAAGGTATACAAACACTACTGGATTGTAGAATACAAGGAAAACATTTCTAATGTATGTGTCAACGAGTCTGTAGATTCTGTTAATTTTAAATAAATTATAGACAAAACAAAACTAAAAATATTATTGTTAATTTAGAATACATTTTGTTTTTCAATAAATAACCAGCTGGATCTGGTGTTCATTTGACAATTGATTGTACCCAGTATGTTATTTCATTTGTATTTTAAAGTTGGCTATTCCTTCTTACTGTGACAGGAGTGAAGATGCTAGTACGTGAATCGACTAGCTGTCGTCTACGGACAGCCCTGCTTTTCAATTACATTGTCGTCTACGGACAGCCCTGCTTTTCAATTACATTGTCGTCTACGGACAGCCCTGCTTTTCAATTACATTGTCGTCTACGGACAGCCCTGCTTTTCAATTACATTGTCGTCTACGGGCAGCCCTGCTTTTCAATTACATTGTCGTCTACGGACAGCCCTGCTTTTCAATTACATTGTCGTCTACGGGCAGCCCTGCTTTTCAATTACATTGTCGTCTACGGGCAGCCCTGCTTTTCAATTACATTGTCGTCTATGGGAGGTATAATTCTAGTATGAACCTATAAAGCATTGAGATTCATGTTCAGACACTGTGTCATGACCCCCAAAATAAACTTTGTACAAGTTTGCACTAAGAACTTCTAAACATCATTGGAGAAACTAACTACTATTTTAACCAACTTCAGGCTATACGAAATGTTGCATAAATCTTTCATTAAAAACGAGAAGCAATATTACATATTGTCAGTTCCATAAAATAGATTTCCTGGAAATTGATGTTATGATTAACCAAGACATTGTTAAAATTAGCTACAAATTAAATACAAATCTGAATAAATGGGCAAAGAAAACTGGATGCTGATCCATACTCAACACCCACCCCCTACATTGCGTATAATGGTTGTCAAAAATGTCAATTATGCCACAATGTGCAGGCTTATAGTCATGCATGGATGTTGACATTGGCACAGACTCCCATAATGCATCGTTCTTTTTTTTTACCAACTTGAATGACAGAATAATTACATTTCAGATGTCACCAAACAGATCTACATAGGACAACTAAAAATGATTGCAGGATTGATTACACCTTCAATACAATACAATCAAAATCAGTACTTACAATGACTAGTTTATTATAAAATCACCTCGTTTTCTGGTATAGATAATAATATATCAGAACACAAACCATACATCTGTGATATTTTGGGTTTAAACGCATGGAATACAGAAACTATAAATCCATAAAAATTTCACAAATATTAAATTTCAAACTACTTATTTTTTTAATGATAAAAAATGGTAAAATATATGTATTGGCTAAATATAATCTTATGTCTGCTAAAATATGAAAAGTTGTAGCGTAATGCTGAAAAGATGACTCAAAATTATCAAATACTGACTTGGATATTTAGATGGACGAAATCGCAAAACAAAATTTTAAAGTGACTTCAGATTGTTTGAAATTTTGTGAATTTCAAAATTACAGGTTACATAAAATTTACTATCCAAGGCATAAATTTGTTTTATATGAAATATTTTTAAAATGACAATTGAAAACAACCAATCACATGTCTTGGATAAAAACAGGCGCCCTCTAGCCACGACCTTAACACATGCTTTGACACTGGCTTTGACACTGGCTTTGACACTGGCTTTGACACTGGCTTATTTCCCAAAACAGATACGTTTCACATTTCAACAATCTATGCCAAAAAACAATCAGTACAACTCTTGGCAAATATCACTATTTTTAAACAAATTTGATGGTATACATCTTGTGTACATGTCAGTAAATTGGACAATAATGGAGTGAACACTGCAAAGACTCATGGGTAATATGCATTACCAAATGGATTTTACAGCATCTTTAAATTGAAACGTTGGGATCGTCCAGGATAACTATTTTAATATTATTAACCCCCCCCCCCCCCAACAAAAAAAAAATCACACCTTCTTGCAATGCATGGAAGTTACAATTGAAATTACACATCTGTACAAACAGAGAACTAGGGTATTTATAATATATAAGGTCACATGACACATACAATTTGTAAATGGTTGATGTCAATGTAATAAAATTGTAGATTCATTGTAGAATACAAGGTTAATTATTTAAAATTATTGATAATTAAACTTATTTAAACTATTGTGCAAATATTTTAATACAGTGATTGTTATGATCAGCCACTACAACCTTACCAAATGGTTTATCATTTGTGATACAGATACCACGGGGATCACTCAACCCATCAGCAGGACTATCAATACGACATACAAATTGACCATGGGAGTCATACTTCTGAACCCTTTTATTACCATTTTCACTCACATACACATATCCATCTGTATCAGTAGCTACACCTAAAGGAGACTGTAGTTGACCATCAGAATTTCCTTGACTTCCAAACTTGAATAGAAATTCTCCTTCACCAGTCAGTACTTGTATGCGGTGGTTGCCTTGATCTGCCACAATGACATTACCTTTACTGTCAGTAGTAATTCCCCAAGGATATTTAAACTGACAGTCTTCACCACCCTCTGATCCGAATGAATTTATATATCTCCCATCTTGTTTGTAGATTCTTATACAATGGGAATAATTGTCAACAACATACACCCTTCCATTCACAGGGCTAATGCTAATACCCCAATAGGATATGTCAGTTCCTCACTGCCAAAACATCTAATTAGTTCAAAATTGTTGTTACATACAACTATTTGTTTGTTATTAAAGTCTGTTATGAAATAATTACCATCCTGTGACTCTGCAGCAAAGCATGGATAGAATGATTTATTAAAACCAGTGAATT